TTTTTTTTTTTTTTTGAGAGAGAGAGAGAGAGAGAGAGAGAGAGAGAGAGAGAGAGAGAGAGAGAGAGAGAGAGAGAGAGAGAGCTTGACGACTCACCTGTGTTGGCGTCTCCCATTTCTTGCGATGTCCACAACTGCCCAGACAAGGGCCACTGCTGCTTACCACAGCCCACCACTGCTCACTGCTCACCACAGCTCACGACAGCCCACCACTGGACGTGAGAGAGAGAGAGAGAGAGAGAGAGAGAGAGAGAGAGAGAGAGAGATTGATGACAACTCGCACGATCTGGCCGCTGTGATTCACAGTTACACGACATACGGCTGTGACGAAACGGTCTGCGCACAGTGAGGTAACACGGCCAGCCCATGGGAACCGGTTTGCCCGTTGGGAAAGCAGCCTTCCCACACGGGCAAACCGGTTGCCGTGGGCTAGGCTGCTTTCCCAACGCGCAAACCGGTTCCCGTGGGCAAAGGCAAACCGGTTGTAACATCTGGGCCGTCGGGACCTTTCGGATTGACAATCCCGATCGGCGCGCAGTTTTTAGATCGTAAGACTGCGCGCCGATTGGGACCGTCAATCCGAAAGGTCCCCACGGCCCAGATGTTACATTTGTTACATCGCACAATTGATCTGGGCCATGGGCCCGTAGGACCGACGACGGCCCAGATCGGCGATTTGTTACATACTGCGGGATTAGCAATTTCTATAGTGTAGGGACCATTGTCATTGTCGTCATCATATCATTATCTTCCTCATGCTCAACATCGTTGTTGTCATCATCATCATCTTTGTTGTTGCCATCACTGTTGTCATCATCGTCTTCGTCATGGTCATCATCGTCATGTAGTGCTTTTTTTTTGGGTTCTCTATTCCTTGCTTCGCAGCTTATAGTTTCCATTCTCTTCCGCCAGAGGATATTGCTTTGAGACTCATTGAGATTCAGTTAGTCTTTATGCCTCATTCTCTCTGCATGCTCAATGCGTGCAACGTAAACTTGAGGGTGTGGGTGCTGACGTGGAAGACGACGGTTCGACAGAAAAGATGCTGACGTCGTCGAGGACAGTTGGACAGAAAAGGTGTTGACGGCGCCAGAATATCAACAGAGAGAATGCACGCCCACAGGAAAAGAGGAGAATGTCACTCCGAGCACGAGTCCGAGGTATGACTTGTCATAATAACTTTATTATTTTGTGAACAGATTGCTGTCACAGGTGAATAGTAGTTGTGGAAAAAAAAAATAAAAAAATTCAAGTTGTGAAAGTTAGTGAAACCCTATTCATTTATTGGTTCTTCGAACTTCATTCTGAATGGATTGGCATGTTGTTTCAGGTACTGGAGCTCACATGCAGGACTCGACAGTTACTCCCAAGAATTGTGCTGTCGGTCACTGTACCACACACGCTTCCTCTTGATGAGCAGGTAAGGAAGAACTTTTCTGACGACTTGAACTGGTCGTGATCTGTTTATTAACAGGCATATGTGTGTAGCACTCAGACATTGTCACTGTGTTGAGCATTTAAAAGGGACTGTCAGTCTTCGAACTGCACTCACAGGCCGGCCATCTTTTGATGCCTAAAGATCTAGGCCACAAACATAGCCAACAAATGGCGGCCAATGATCGCTACACACAAATGTAGCGAAATGTGGGCAGCCCAGATTGTCAGCATCCCATCGATAAAGCTTTAGTCACAGATTGCGCATCATTTGTCTACATAGTTAGGTGGCAAATGACGGCAAATGACGGCGAACGACAGCGAATTGACGGTGAATGACGACAAATGATGGCCAGTTGAGATTGTCATCATCCCATCAATAAAGCTTCAGTTGCAGTTTGTGCGTCATTGGTCTACTACATAAACTCGTTGCGGTGTCAGACGAGTAATCTCTGACCTTATTACTTCACTATATGCGGGGAAGTCCTAACGTATTTATTGAATGAATTTCAATATACAATGTCCTAACGTATTTATTGAATGAATTTCAATATACAATGGATAATATGTAGGCAAGTGATAGCGAATGAGGACAAATGATGATAAAAATGATAACAAATGAGGACAAATGATGATAAAAAATGGCGATCAATGGTGACAAATAATTGCAAATGATGTCGAATGACGGCAAATGTGGCCAATCCAGATTGTTACAATCCCATCAAGAAAGCATAAATTAATTCACACAGATTGATCATCCTCTGTCAACGTATGATGGCGAATGACGTCAAATGATGACCTCAAATGAAGGCAAATGAACGCCAAAGAAGGCAAATGAAGGCAAATGAAGGCCAAATTTGACATCAAATGAAGGCAAATGAACGCCAAAGAAGGCAAATGAAGGCAAATGAAGGCCAAAGAAGGCAAAGGAAGGCCAATGAAGGCAAATGAAGGCCAAAGAAGGCAAATGAAGGGCAGGTTTGGGCACATGAAGGTGAATGTGGGGCCAACCCAGATTGTCAGCATCCCATCAATAAAGCGAGGAACGAAGCCTGGGCATTTTTAATATGATCGAATGAAGGACTGTATGGAATGCACGGGGTTGGGAACACCCTCTGTGCATTCTTTCCCTGCAATTTCTTTCCATAAGTCTCCGTGTTTTTTTTTTTTTTTTTAATTGATCTGTCGCGACTTTCTTTGCCTTGCGAAAACCCTCTCAGCATTCTTCCCCCCCTGCCCTTACTCTCCTCGGCCCTACAATTCATTCAACATCCTCTGTGTCTCCTCCGCTTGTGCCCTTTCTCTCGATCTCCACTTTGTTATGCTTGCCCTTGATGCTGTTGGTCTATTTGTTGTTCCCTCTCACCCCGATAGTCCCGAGTCGGTTTGAGCTGGGGCTCCGCTCCCCATTTGCAGCCCCCACTGGATGCGGTCGGGGGATCTGCCAAGGGTGGTGACCCTTTGGTCGGTCCCTGTTCTGATTTGCAGCCAACGGATGTTCTCCTGCGGGGCTGTGCATGCCCCACTGCACTGGGTGGGCTGACTTTCGTAGCCTACGTCTGGGTCCCTATTTTCAGGCCTAGAACCATTTGACTCTGACCTGGTGCCTGTTTTTTTTTTTTTTTTTTTTTTTTTTTTTTTGGTGGGGGCTGCMCCCTGGATGTCCTAATCCATGTATAGATGCCTTTCGCATAGTTCAGCTTGTCCCTAGATAACGGCGAGCTCAGAATTCAGTTTTGCCCTGATTAGCTGCCAGTGCAGAATTCAGTTTATCCCTCGACAACTGTCAGGCAGTGTCAGCACAGGATTCAGTTTATACGTGGACTTGTCTCCCCCTGATACGCGACAGTTAGATCAGTCCAAGGCATACTAATTCCGATTATGGAAAAATGGTAGGTGGCAACGAGCTGCCTGCAGTGCCCTAAAGTAGGCGATTGAAGTAGCCAGCAAATGAAGTCAATACAAAATCAGTCGATGAAATCTGCTTGGCAATCCATATGGTACTCAGCTGGATTGCGTTGGCGGAACGTGCCGATTGTGGTTGAAACTTCCTGCTGTCATGCTCTCCATTCCGAATGCCAGCCACGTGAGCAGCTGCTATCACGGTGATGCCTTGGATGGCTCTCCATCATTGTAACAATGCTTCTTCTCGTCCTCTTCGTCCTCTTCGTCCTCTTCCTCCTCTTCCTCCCCCTCGTCCTCTTCCTCCTCCTTCCGCCCTCTTCCTCCTCTTCCTCCTCCTCCTCTCTCTTCCTCTTCACCCTGCTTGTCCTTGTTCTCCTGTTCCTTCTCCTTATTGACCTGTATCCTTCCGATAGGAACCATAGCACATGAGAACACGAAAAAAACTCCGACATGAGAGCTCACTGTAAGATCATGCATGGTGAAAGCACACCAATCCAAGGTCACGCTTAATTAATACAGAAGTCGCTTGACAATGGAAGCCCTCTTTGCACCTCCAACAACCAATACGACAACAGAGTAGTGGCCCTGGCTATAATGTGTCCACATCTACTACTCGCCTACAGTGTCCTGCACACTAGCCGGTACCTCTCACTCTCTCTCTCCACTCTCCGCTTGCCACAAGCCGCTGAAGAGCCTGATCGCAGAGGTGCTCTCCGGCCACACAGCAGGTAAGTATCTGCCTGTCCCCACACCTGCCCTTCCCTGACCTTCCACGACTGCGCACCTTCTTCCGTGCACAGGACTGTGTCGACCCAGCTATGGCAGCACACATGCGAGCAGCTGCCACTATGCTGCACTTCCCTTCTTCGCGGCTGGCTGCAAGTGCTCTCTCAACACTGCCGCATGCGCATGATAGTGCCCGCTGCCCAATGTGTTATGTCTCGGCCAAGTTCCTTCTGTTCCGTTGTCAGGCCGAGGTCTGATTCTTGAGGGCCTGAGTTCCTTTTTGATCTGGCTCCTGACATGGGGCCTACCGGGTAGTTACCTGGGATCCTGCATTGGGCCCTTACAGTTACATGGAGCCCCCCCTGAATTTGCTGCATGGCCAAGCTAAGGGCCGCCAAGGCCTGGGGGCTCGTACTTCTCCTTGTCCTCCTGTTCTGCTCCTCCATCGGATTGTAAGGACATTTGACAGCGGCATCTGAAAGCTGTATATGAAGTGGAACATGATGCAGTGGATTACTGGTGAAATGCATTTGCTTGTGATCCGATTTAATACTCACAAACTACAGTATTGAACCCCCCATATTTTATTTTTGATCTTCAACTCCATAATCAGTTCACTTCTTCATTTTCTCACCTCGTTGCCTCTCCTACTGAATGTACACTACCAGGGAGAGCCCATCAACCGGTAGATTTGATGATAGTGTTGTTGCGAGAGCGAAGCTGTACCAGCCCCTCGTCACGGTGATGTGTGAGGACGGGCAAGCGTCGTAGACAGGGAACACCGGTAGTGCTAGTGCCTGGCACTATGGCCAGTTGCTGCACCTCGCCGTTCCATTAGTGTGATCGCGGATAGCCAGTTCCCCCCCCCCCCCACCCCCCACACCCGAGCCTACATTAGTGTGATCGGGGATAGCCAATATCGTTGTTGCATATCACTGAACAATATTGGGCAAGGTCCTGCTAATGCTGACCGGAAGGGCCAGTGGGATATCTCTACATGGTAATGGGAAGCTTGCCCAGGCACAGATGTGAGGGCAATGGGAAGAGAACTCACGACCTCCTTTTTCAGGAGACAGCTTACCTCTGATATTATTGATTTATGCTGTCCATCTGGGCTACCAGCTGGGCTTGGTCTGGGCAAGGTCCCGGTTGAGGTCCTGGGCAGCCCCAGCACAGAAAAGAAAATCAAAGAAAGCTGGAAAAAAGCTGTACTGCAGAATTACAAATCAAACAACTTTTGGCTGAGGGAGACTCCAAAATTCATTATTGAATTGATAATATGCAAGCAGCCTTTCAATGAGGACGCAATTTTTTTCGCGCCAGCAAAGACACAAATTAGAGCATCAGCATGTGAGAGCAAAGTCGAAAGCAGGTGGACAAGTCGAGATCACACCAAATGAGAACACAAAAAAATGTGCTGAAGTTTATTGAAAGCGAAAGCCTGATATCTCACCTCCAACTGTCAATAGAACAACTGCTCTACTCTTCCCTGCTGCTGTAAGCGGCTGTACGATGTCCCTACTTACTTTATACTTTTATCCTTCAGAGAGAGAGGATGGCTGCCGGGCATATAGCCTCTGAGGATCCTACTCGTTGTAATGCAATCAGATTCGTTTTCAAACACACTTTTCACACATGTAAACAGTAACGCAGCACACTGGCGACATGCGCCCACTCAAAACTCAGAGATATGGCTTCAGATACGAGTTCACTCTCAAATGGCTATGGCGACTTCAGCGCCCAAACATCTCACCGTTCACATACACTGGATCACCCTGGATATCCCACACGCATCACTCTAACACTCGAGCACACACACACACTCACTACTAACTACAG